AGGTTAGGTCCATAAAAGGCTATTAGCCAGGGGATAGAAATGGTGTCCCTGGCCTCTGTTTGTCAGAGGCTGGAGAAGGATGGCAGGAGACAAATCGCTTGATCATTGTCTTCAGTCCACCCCCTCTGGGGCACCTGGTGTTGGCCACTGTCAGCAGACAGACTACTGGGCTAGATGGACCTTTGGTCTGACCCAGTGCGGCCATTCTTATGTTCTTATAATTGTACTGTTACTCTGGTCTGATGTGAACTAAAGATAGTTGGTAATACTTACTCAAAACATTGCTCTGAAAGCAGCATTAGCTGAAAGTACAGCACAAGAAGGCATTCTTGTCGGAGGACTTGTTTCCACATGATTCCCTAACAGGTATCTTTCCTCACTGTTTTCTGGAGTCAGTCTTCAGTTATTTTGCCTCCCTTTCCACACTTTATGTTCCTCTATTCCTTTGTCTTATGTTGCATAAGTGATTTGACACTTTTTTTTTTAATTTTAGGTTTGAAACAGTTAGTGAGTTTACTTCGGAGCTAGAAGACACTGATGATCCAGCAGCCTATGTCACCAACTTGACATATTACCACCTGGTCCCATTTGAGACAGATATTTTGGACTGAGGCTATCCAGGGACCCTGTCAGCTAGCATACAAGAGATTTCTTCACTGCATTTCATTGCATTCCTCTTCTGCAAATAAAGTTGTGTGATTAAAAACAGCAGAGAAATTGCTGCAGATATTCAGTGATGCAGCTAAGCCCTTCATTGTGATTCAAGAAGGTACCTTATAAGGAAGAAGCTGCTTCAACAAACTCTTTTTTCCCCCCTGAAAGAAATGGAGTAAGATCTTAGGGCAACTTGGATCCAAGGAAATCATTCTGGTGAAGGCCATGGCAACCACTACACTGACAAAACCATAAGCGATCATGCTGTCGTTTGGCACCAGTAGCCACTGGAGTACAGTGCAACTTGTACAAAATACTATTCTTATTAGGCAGCTTCCTGTCGTAAAAAACATCACAAAGAATCCTCAGATATACTGAGTACACTTCCACTCCACCTTTATTGGAAGACCACCTCTGTTAAGCAACCATTTGTCAGTCCCTTATGTGTTCGCATATGGCAGGTCTCTCAGCTTGCTGTCTGTTTAGCTGTGGGATGACAGGTGCCTTACAGAAAATGCTACAAATACCAGCGTGCCTACAGAAATCTGATTATTTTACCTCTCTTAATCCTCGAGGTTTTGCTCAATCATTGGAAAGCTGACTTCTTTGCTTTGCTTTTCTGAAACAGGGGAACAAAATGGCATTGTAAAGGAAAGCTGGTCATGTTTAGGTACCTTGAATTACTTCAGAGTTCTGGAAAGCCAATAGGAGGGGATAACCTACTGTGCTAAAAATGGTCAGTGCACACTAGGCACTTGGATATGATATTTCTCTTGGACCAGGAAATATGAACAGTGCTTGCAGTTGTTTACAGAAGATGGATCATTTACCTTTATATATTATTTTCCAGAGAATGGGGGGATTTAAGCCCTGTGGAGACTGAGAAATAAAGATAAACTGCAGCTTATCTTAGGATGACAAGAAAAAAGAAACCACCCCAGCTCAGTCTGCTTAGCCCTCCCTCATAGACCTGATAGGCCTGATCCTGATCTTGGCTACATTAGTTTCATAGCAATTAAATTCTATTCACCTCAGTGGAGTTATGCCAGTATAAAAGAGAGGAGAATCAGACCCCACAGACTCTTTCCTACTGAGTAGTGCAACGCTGATCTCTCTCTGAGCTCAGTCTTCTAGGCTGTGGAGCACCCTGGACTCCCAATATGAACTGAAGCTCAACACCTTGCATGATCAGCCCCTGACCTTTCATCGAGTGTTTAATACAGTAATGGCCAGAATTCATTTCAAGAGATATGAACTGGGAAGAGTACATTTTGAGCTGGTTATCTCTATAAGGGCTTTGCCTTGGTCATGAAGGACTTGGCACAGCTCCTCTCCTTCTGTATACTCTTCAGTGCTATGTGTATAATAACAGTAAACAGAATTTGCTAATGTATATAATAAATTATTGAGAATCCTAATTCCTTTACACAGTGTGTTTTTAAAATATATATTTAATGAAATAAAATTACTCACATTAAGTATGATATCTGCAGTTTAATGTGTTGACTTTCATTTATTTTTCATGGAAAGTAAGTCCCTGAGACCTGAGTTCTCTGCTTTTCCATCCAGTAATTTTGGAAACATGTTGAGTAGGTACTGCTTTCCTTGTGCTGCTTGAGTGCTCATGCTGCAGATTTAACATCCAAGTAAAAGCTACAGGTCTGGATACTGATCTCACCTCTGTGTACATATAGATTTACACCCCTACCTTCAGAGAAGCTATTTGGGATTTATATAGGTGAAAAGTAGATCAAATCTAGTATCTATAGTTTCTCAGGGTGGAGGGTTTCCTTAAACTGGAATGTAATAGGAAACTTGCTTTTTTGTATTCTTGAACTAGATTTATTTTCTTTGCCCACTAGCTACAGTTCTTCAGTCTGTGCTTCTGGGTGATTATTATTGGGTAGCAGCATTGTACAATGTAAGGGGGACTCGACTGGGTATTGGGAGAACTGAGCTCTGTCCCTTGCTGTTTTATTAACCTTTAATGGGACTTTGGACAACTTATTTCACTGTGCTATACCTCATTTTCCCCATTAGAAAAATTCTATCTGCTATCTCCGATTTACAAGTATATAAGCCCCATTGACTTCCACTGAGAGTGAGTATTCTCATAAATGTTATCCAGTGACACTTATATACTTTTTGTAGAGTACTTTAAGATATATGAATGGAAATTTTATATTAAAGCTAAGTATTATTATCATCGAGTTTAAAAACAAGTGACCGCTTTCATAATGAGAAAACAGGTCAAGCGGCAGATAGGAGAGAAGATGATGTGGGTGGGTCATTTTATTAAATCTATGAGATAACGGTTTAGTTCATAAACAGAAGTTCCACTGGTTTCAGGTAATTCTGTTCTTTAACATGATTGAAATTGGTGCAAAAGGCTGTGTGAGTGCATTTTATGAAATCATTCCTTTATTTAAACTGAGGCAATTTTCTCATGTAGATGAGGCCTTAATCCTTGTATCAAACAAGGAAAAGAATAAAGTATTAATCCTGACCATCTCCACTGTTAAAATTCAAAATGGATCTACGGCAAAATAAAACTCAAGGCATTATGTGAAGAGTACAGGAATGTTCACTGCCATGCAGAGTCAAATAATATTTAGTGTACACTCTATTAGACACAAAACACTACATTAGAAGAATCTTCTGATGGTTCCAAAGTCAAGCCCTCAAAAATTTGGCTGTGTAACCTTCATTTGTCCCCTGTGCATGCATGTGTTGTGATTTCAGTCTTTAATTACATGATCACATACTATTTTTCCACAGGACACTTACTCCTTTTAGGCTACAGAATGGGCCTGCTCTAGAGATGAACCAGAGCTGTCTAGTGAAGGAAACTGTGGTCTGTGTGAACCTGGCTTCATTTGTTGCGGAAGGTATGTAGTGAATGGGTCAGAACACTGCAGGAAGAGAAAGGATGCTGGTATAGTTTTGTGTGCATGCATGTGCACAATCTAAGTTGCTTATGTGTTTTGTTTTCAAAAAGCAAAATTTTAAAAAACAAATTTCATCATGTGGCATCATATCAACAAATATGGGCCACCATTAGTGTTGAGACTTTAGAACCACAACACCAATCTGTGGCACTTGACCTAACAATAACTGATAGAGGATGACAGACTGCTGTTGCAGTGTGGACTAGCACTAGAGGAAGATGGAACACTGCCAGTGAGTTTCAAGCCATTTTCTGACTGCAGAGGGCTGTTGAGACTCAGAACTACTGTATTCTGTTCCAGTATCTAGAAATGAGCATGCTTTAGTGGGCATAGATCCTCTTGCCCATTCCCCTGAAGTGGGACTACTTGTGCCCTTTCCTGTCTTTTCTCCATCCTGATTCCTTGCTCCAGTCCCATTCTTCTTATTTAGCTAGTCTCCAGTTCTCAGGCATCTCGTCCCAATCTCTTTGCCTCACCAGTTCCTGTTCTCCCCTGGCAACCCAGATCCTTATCAAATAAATCTTTTCCCATCACATCCTTCTCTCTGCCTCTCTGGTTCTCAGTCTCAGTCTCCTTGCCCAGACAGTCCCAATCTTCCCCACCTAGCTCTTGTGATGGGGTGCCTGCCCTACACTTGGTTCTCAGGGTTTAATAGATTTCTAGGGAGGCTGCATAGGAGGCAGCCAATCACAGAAGAGCTTATAGGAGAAACAAATCAGGGCCTTGTGGGCACATATAAGAAGAGCCACAGAACAGAACAGCTGGAGTCTCTCCCTGAAGCTTGAAGAGGGAGGAAGACTGGCTGCCTAGCAGGCCAAGGGCTGCAAGCAGTATGAATAGAGCAGTGTTGATGGCAGAGACCCAGAAAGCTAAAGGCAGCTCCTGCATTGATCTGCAGGCAGAGGGCCTGAGGCAAAAGCAAAGAGAGTGCTGGGGCTGCGGGTTGATGGCCCACGGAAAATTACTGAGAGGAGTTACAGAAGGAGAGGGTAATAATTTTGATGGGGGGAGGGGCAAGAATTTGGTAGGTAGTCAAGGGCCCCACTCAATGATAATGGAGAAGGTGCAGGGTCTGGGATGGAGGTTGGGTGCAGAAAGGAGCTTGGGGTAAGGTATTGGAGTGCAGGAGGGGTTATAGGATCTGGGAGGGAGTTTGGGTGAAGGAGGCTGTTGTGACCTAATGCAGAAGACACGGGTGCAGAAAGGAGTATTGGATCCAGGAGGAAATATGAGTGCAGGAGAAGATTCTGACCTGGAGGAGGGATGCAGGAAGGGATCTTAGAGGGGGTTGTGACCTGGACAAGGAGTGCACGAGGGGGGGCAGGGAACTGGATTGTGACTGGGATAGAAGATTGGGGTGCAAGTTCTGGTAGGGGGTTTGACCTGTAGGAAGGGTGTGGAAAGGGGTGCAGAGTCTGGGAGGGTGCTGTGACCTGGGGCAGAGGGTTGTGGAGAGGAAGAGGCTGAGGTGCCAGAGACAGACCGTGGCTGGGAGGCACTTACCTGGGCAGCTCCTGGCCAGCAGCCCAGCAGGCTGCCTGCACTGACTGCAGGAGCCATGTGCAGCTCTGAATGCTCGAGCCTGGAAGGGGGGGTACTTTGTGTACTGCCTGTCCTGCAAACAGGCAGCTCCTATTGGCCAAAAACTAGCCAATGGGAACTACAAGATTGTCCTGGGGGCGGGGACAGTACACAAAGCCTCTCCTTCCAGGCTTGCGGCATTCAGAGAGCTGCGCTGAGCAACATGCGGGGGTGGGTCAGGCAGTAAGCCTGGCTGAGGCTTCCGCAGGCCAGATGCAGGAGCTTGGCAGACTGGATCTAGCCCAGGGGCTGTATTGCCCCTGAGTTATATGGCAGGCCTAAGTCCCCCACTCACCACTGAGGAAGTCGGGGGGACTGTAATGCTGTCCCTGGAAGGAGGGAACATGGAGTGCAGCAAAGACGGAGGGATGTGTCATGAAGAGGACGCTGTGGCGTTGAGAGTGATGTGGGTCCCTGGAGCAGAAGTGATGGTGGTGAGACATCACCAGAAGAAGGCGCACTGGTATAGAGAGCAGGAGGCACCGCACTGGTGAGTCCTACCCTGTCATACTCCTCAGCCAGTCTAATTCCTGCCTGTTTATTGGCACTCAGTCTTCTCACCCAGCCAATCCCAGAGTCCTCCCCACCACCAATAGCCCATCTCACTCTCCCCTTCCAGACTCCTTGTTCCACGGGCCTCTTTCTCATCCAAGTTGCCTGAAAGCCATTCGGGGGCTAAAATACAGCACAACAGTCACAATCCCTGAAGTTCAGGTTGCTCCAGAGCTGCAACTGCAGAGCCCTGGGAGCATGCCCGACACAGATAGAATCACTAAGGGGAACTGAGCTGTTAAAATTAGTCTGTACTGAGCATGTGTGGACTGTGATTTTTCCCCCCTCAAGAAGCTGGCAACTTAGTCAAACTGGGGTGCATTTTCACAGGCACTGCAAAAGTCACTTCCCTGGCGCACAGGACAGCCCCCACCAAATTTGAAGTCCTTGCTGCAATGCAGGGTATGCTATAGCTTTTAAAAAACAAGCTTGCCAGAACTTAATATTGACAAAATTATGTATTTTTGTTTAGCTCCATTTTCAAATAGTGGAACCATTTTGGTTGTGATTTTCCAAAATAATTCATCTTGAGACATCAGTTATGGAACATTTCAGCCCAAAGCTTGGTAACATTAAAAGCAACTGAAACCAGTGTTTTATAATCGGAAGTATTACACAGCCTTAATTATAGCTGGTGCTGCCAGTCTTAGCTTTTGTGCTTGATCAGGTCACTTTTCAAATTTATTATAATTAATACACACCTCAAATATTTTTTAAAGATTTGAAATGCAAATGAACAAAAAATTCTGATTTAATGAGATGCCCAACTCCTGTGACTGACTAATATTGAGCAGGCGTTGTGGGTGGATGCTATATGTGTTCACAATACTCCTATATTTGGTTGTCAAAAATAATTGTCTAACTTTAATTTTAGGGGGGTTATTACTTTCATTTTGCTGAAATTATTTTTTTAACAATTTGGGTTCTGTACAGATCTCTAAAAATTGACGGTTTCAGGAGCTCTTTTTTATTGTAATGATAATCTTGAATACTTCCCCAAATTCTTGTCTAATTAGGATTTACTTTGATTTTTATTAAATAAATAAAAATGACTTGCCTATTTAAAGCTTTGAATCCCTCTTATTGAACCCCTGGTTTAGCTGTTAGTGCATTTATTCCCTAATGCACTTTAATGTAGTACTATTTCAAAGAATACTACATTGAATCACACTAGGGAACCTTTAGTGTGCACCAGCAGGATCTACAAGGGCTATTTAATGTGCAATACATTAGTATGCTTTGGAAGTAACACCTCTATAGTCTGCCTTACTGCTCCATGTAGACAAGCCTTTAGATGAGACAAGCCAGGGTGCAGGATCATTTGCAATTTAAACAAA